TTTAACATCCAACCTGAAGCAATCCACTGTCCTGAAGAATGAGTAGATATTGACAAAACTGCACCCTTATGACCTCTGTACTCAAGATAGCATGTCATTGGGTAAGGCCTTAGATCTTTTCGGCTTGGTAACTTCGGCTTTAAAGATTCAGGATCAATGTTAATCTGAACACAAACAACAGGAACAAAAGTTCATCACATTAGTTAGATTCAGGCCATCAGAAGCAAAGTTGACAAATTCATCAGCATGTAACATAACAACAAAAAGATAAATTTGGACAAGCATGAAAAGCTTGCCTCTAGCTTTTCGTTAGTCTCTTGCTTACCCGCTTTTTCCTAACTCTTGGACACAAATACAGATCCAAACAGCGCTCAAAAGAGTCCTTCAAAGCATTCTCATAAGCCGTGATGCTTCTCAAAGATGTGAACCTAAGCATATTGAATTTGGTTAAGATGACAAATATTCAACTACCAAACAAGATAAGCAAATGAACACTCTGAAGCACATCATAGACACCTTTTAGGTATAAATTTTGGGCGGTCTTCCTCAGACATCAGCTGATAAGAATTGATCTCTTCTTGCATGGGAATATACTCCAAAGAAGGATTATATGATTCCTCGTGTCCTGAAAACCAATTTAATAGAAGCATTGAAAATAAATGATAAATTAAAAATGATAGCTGTAAGTTATGACTTTACATAAGAAGCCAGCTAAAAATTCATACCTGGCAATTTTGGCTTTGGTGCTGGTATGTAAGCCAAATGCTTAGCTGTTTCTGCTGAGCTAGAATCATCTCCCCACAAGAGATAGGAACGAGGCTCTTCTTTTGGCGTGTCAAAGTTTATCAATCCCTTCCGGATCGCTCTAACATACTGAACAACCTGTAGATTCATAACAAACAAGGAAAAATGAAATTAAGAACCAAGTGATGAAAGGATTAATCTTCCCCTCCTAGCACAGGTCACGAATATCAAATCCAAAAACCACTGAATGATGAGAAATCTAAAAAAAAAAATTTCTCACATTTCTCTCACATAACAAAGAAAAAGAAAATATATAATGCCTCACCTTTCTGCTTTCCCATTTTGAAGGAATAAATCTCCTTTTTGGTTCTGGTGCATTTGAAAGTGGATGCTTTGCATCATCCCATTTAAACCAATCAACATAAGGCTGCATTAATAAGTAAAGAACTTAAGTTTAAGCATATTAAGAAGGAAATTCTCCAATAAAAGTAATTCATTATGAATAAAAATATGAATGAACATGAAAATAAATTGGAGGCATATACCTGATATGGATCAAAATCTGCATGAGGTGCCTTTCCTTTAACCAATCTGCGAATTATTCTGGTCTCTTCTTTTGTGAGCTCTACTTCTTCGTCATTATACTCATCATAAATCTTGCGCCTGAAATATAAAAATTATAGCAAAACTAATTACACAAATTCTCCAAATAGAACTTTCTAAAAACAATACAAGTAACCGTTAAGAGTATTAATCTTCCAAGCCAGTTTTTTTTCGTGTAACAGTTGACATCACAACAGCAACCATATCCATCTATGAATTTGTCAACAAATGTTTTATCTTCATTTTATATTCATCTAATCAGCAAATAAAAGGTGAATATTGGAACTTATCACACAACAAATATTTGGTTCACTTTTTCTGCAATACCAGACACATCTATTCTAGGTAAAATATAAAAAAGAAAAATAATCATATCACTCCCAAACACTCAATCAATGAACAGTTCGTGTGCCATATTTGTCACTGAAACATCTGGAGTTTAAGGATGTAGCTGCAACATCCAGGGTTCAAGGATGTGGTTAGAAATGGGTGCAAGGACGAGAACAGGGCAAATTGAGAGGGATTCTGATCCGTACACAAATTGAGAAATCTGAAGGGTGACATTGAAAAGTGGAATAAACAAGTCTTTGAGAACGTCTTCTAGAAGAAGGCAGGGATCTTAGAAGAAATAAGAGATATTGACAAAAAGGAAGTAGAGGGTAACATCTTGGAGGATCAAAATAAGAGATTAGTAGAGCTTGAGAATTAATTAGATGCAGTATTGATTCAAAAGGAATGATGCTGGAGACAAAAACAAAATCAAAATGCGTGCAGGACAGAGATGCCAATACTAGCCTCCTTCATAGGATGGTAATTGACGGAGGAGGAAGAATGTCATCAAGGAACTCGAACTCAATGATGGCCAGATGGAAAGAAAAAAACGAGGCTATTGGTAGAGAGATCACAAATTACTTTGAGAGATTGTATTCGAAAGAAAATAATCATAGATCTTTCATTGAAGGAATCAAGTGGGCCCCTATCCCTATGGATAAAGCCCAGAGCATGGAGACCATTTGAGATGGATGAGATTAAGCGGGCAGTGTGGAATTTGGCAAGGACAAGGCACTGGGACTGGGACCTCATGGATTACTATTGAGTTCCTTAAGGATAATTGGAACAGTGAGAAGGTGGATTTAATCAAAGTTTTTGAGAGGAGTTTTTCATTAACGAGAAAATATGTAAAAACATGAACTATACCTTTCCCTTAATACCAGAAAAAGATAGGTCCATAAAGGTACCCAATTTTAGGCCAATAAGCCTGGTCACAAGCGTCTACAACATTATAGCAAAGGTTTTATCCCTTACACTGAGTGAATCTCTTGATCAAACAATTTTCATCCATCAGAGTGCATTTGTGAGAGGTAGACAGATTCTAGATGTGTCTCTAGTGGCCAACAAGGTAGTGGAGTACACTAAGAGATCAAAAAGGAAAGGTATAGTTCTGAAACTTGACTTTGAGAAGGCACATGACCGGGTGAAGTGGAGATTCTTGGATAGGGTAATGGAGAGAAAAGAGTTTGTGGTTAGATGGAGAAAATGGATACAGGGATGTTTGACTACCTTCTGTTTTGCAGTGGTAGTTAATGGGAAACCACAGGAATGGGTCGGGGCCTGCAGAGGATTGAGATAAAGGGATCCTTGTCTTGATTTCTGTTCACTCTAGTAGTTGATCTTTTGAGTATAATGATCTCCAAGGCTGAAAGTAGGGGAAATGTTAAGGGCCTGAGAGTAGGTAGGGACAGTGTCAAGTGTCACACCCCCAGTTCGCTGATGACAACAATCCTATTCCTACAGCATGATAATTAGTCCATCTTTGCAGTTTTAACTCTCGTTCAGGTTTTCAGAGCTATTTCGGGTGTTAAGATAAATATGGGTAAGAGTGGACTGATTGGGGTATGTGGAGGAGGCTATAATTGATGGGTTAGTGACAGATATAGGTTGCAGGAAATTAGAATAGCCTTTCATCTATTCTAATGGGGTCCCATTAGGGGGTAACCCAAGAAGCAAATACTTTTGGAAAAGGGTTGAATACAAGGTAGCCAACCGGTCAAAGAGTTGGTGGGGTAGCCTTTTCCACTCTAGAAGGCAGAGTTCCATTCATTTAGACATGCCTTCAAGTATACCCTTGTACTATTTATCCCTATTTAAGATCTCTGGCAAAGTAGCAGATAGAGATTAAGGGTCACATGAGGAGGTTCCTTTGGTCTCGGGTTCGGAAAGAATTCAAGGATCATCTAGTGGGGTGGGAAATTGTGGGAAGTCCAAGAGCTTAGGAGGCCTAGGGATAGGGAATCTCGTATTAAAAAATATATCCTTATTGGATAATTGGCTCTGGCATTTTCCAAGAGAATCGAATTCCTTATAGCACAGAGTGGTGAAAAGCATCCACAAGAGCAAGCGAGATAGTTGCAATGTCACTGCAGCTTGGAAAGCCATTTCCCAGGTGTACCCTTTTTACCTTCCTCATAACATAATCCAAGTGGGAAATAGCTCCACTTTGTGATTTACTGTTTGTTGAGCAACCAATCATTAGCCTCTCAATTCCCAAGGTCATACCGGATTTCTTCAAGACGTCAAGCTCACATATTCCACTTTACTATTACACAGGAAGGTATAACATCTTGAGATTTCAATTTATCTCATAACCTTTGAATAGAGAGACCTTAGACATGTCAGCCTTCTGGAAGCGCCTTTGCACCCATTACCATTTCCCTCCAGCCTGACCAAAGATTGACCTTGGACACATCTGATATTTTTACTTGCAAATCTTTATTTGATCATCTCACAAGTAACCCCACCAACAATGTCATGCCTGTTGCTAAGGGATTTTGGAAAGTTTCTGCTTCTACTAAGGTGAGGCTTTTTGCTTCAATAATGACTCATCAAAAGCTTAACACGAACGATCTACTCCAAATTCATTGCCCTAGTCGTGCTCTTTCTCTTTACGCCTGTGTCTTCTGCTTCCGAGAGGGTGAAACGCATGCGCATTTGTTAAAGGGGAAGGGATTCAGAAAGCTGCCAAACCCTTGTGGCAAAGGGTGTTATTTGCAGGCCTCTGGTGCATCTGGTTGAAGCGCAACTTGAGAAAATTTAACAACAGAATTTATTCATATTCCGAAATGTGAGGAAGGGTGACTTTTCCATTGTCCCTTTAGACCAAAGGCCATGATTTTTTTTCAGATCTATTTGCATCATCAATCTCCACCAACACTGGGATACATTTATAACATCTCGTAGCTTTTCTACTATTAGCTTTTTCCGTTTCTCACATTTGTTTCCATAGCTGTCAAGGCTTTTGTTTCCCTGGCAAGGATTTCTCTTCTTCCCTGGCTGTACTTTTCTTTCTCATCTTAATAATATCTTCTCCTTTTGTCAAAAAAAGAAAATTGTTACTGAAACACGTACCATCTAATTTTCTCAAAGAAAAAACATGTTCCTTTTAGAGTTTGCAGCGAGACATGAATTAAGAAACAGCTGACAAGCTTTCCCTTTAGATCTAAAAGCAACATAAACAAGTAAACCAGTCCACCTAACACAGTTCCGGCTATTTAATTGCAATAAAAGGACTCACCAATTTTTCGAGTTGTCAACACTTGCAAGAAAAGAATCCAATTTATCCTGTTTCTCTTTCTTTGTTATCTTCTTTCCAGAAATGTCATAACCAATATGTTTCTCATCCCTGTACCACTCTAAAGGAACATCTCCAACTGTATTTCTTGGGGCAACCTATTGAAATGAAAGAGAAATAAAAAAGAACATGGAGAAGCTTTCTCAGCAGAAATATGACAAAATTCACTTGGTAAAACACTGAAACTATGACATACCTCATCTTCAGATGAATCACTCTCTTCAACTCCTAAAAACTCAGAGTTTTCACTTTGATCACGTTGACTATGAGTATTGTCTGGGTCTTCATGATTGTCTATCTGGACAAATCCTCCACTATTAAATTAATATTGAAGCAGAAAAAGAAAGAGAGATCCAGATAGCACCAACTTCGATGTGATCAAACAATTTCATCCCCATACAATTACTGGTACATACTACGGCAAAGATAGAGAACCAACAAACTTACAGCCCGTTTGGGTTCTCTGAATGAAATTTAGCTAAAATGTAACTTTGCAATTCACCAAAAACAGAATAATGCTATAATAGAATTGTGATAATTGGTCCGCAATCAATAATAATTTTTTACAACCCTATTACGATATTTGGTCTGATAGTATAAAGGTAAGAAAAAGTGCAATAAGTTTTAAATAACCATAGTAGCCTTATTTATTGGATTCATTTTAAAATATAAATGTATCATATACTTTAAAAGAATATATAAGTATTTCATGTATATATTAATTAAAAGGATATACTATGACAAGATAAATTAATAAAATTTTATACAACTATTTAAATTAATAAAATTACAAACAATATATTTTCACTTCATATTATTTTAATTCCTAACATTATAGTGCCATAAAAATTATTCAGAAAATCTCTTAGTCACTGAAATTATCTTATAATAAATATCAAACCATATACTAACTGTAAATTTTCAAATATATGTAAATTAGGAAATAAAACATCAATTTTTTTTTTGAATTAATTAACTCAAATTTGTTAGTAAGAGACAGAGTACAATGGCAAAGCTGTAATCCTTATTCATGATCCTAGCCATGAATCAGGATTACAACTTCGCCATTAATTACAATTAGAAAAACCAACTGTATAATAAGTTCCTGTCATGTATAGTTATTACATTATTCTTAATTTATACACTGAACAAAACGTGCTTAAGTAATAGTATGACCTAGACTGGTTAAATTTTCCATACCTACAACTGCAGGAACAAAAGAAAAAGAATAAATGAACAGCCTTTTAAAAATTTATCGTTTTTCTCCTTAATATGTCTGTTCTCTTTCTCATAGTTACCTGAGTGCTCCTTTTTTTTGGAAAAGAAAAAGATGGAAAATAGAGCACCAATCGAATGCAACTCATATTCAAATTTACCTGAATGCTACCCTTGGAAGAGAAATAAGACAAAGGATAGAACTGAGTACCTCATCTTTGGACACGTCACCTTCTCCTGCTTCTGAGTTGTTCAATGATTCATAATCTTCTGTTTCCTCAGGTTCTAACTGGCCCAATGATTCATGATCCTCAGAATCAAAGTTTCCAGGAAAATTCTAAAATAACTTTTGTCAACTCCTCCATATCGCACAAAATACAAATATTGAAAATAGGTGATGCACAGACTAACTCTAAGCGAGATGATGACGAAACAAGAAAACACACTACTTTTTTTGAAATACTATAAAATACCAATTAAATACAGGTCACGGAGAATTGAAGCATAATAATTTGCACTAACATGCAAGCATAGATAACATTATTTGAAATCTAATTGACAAGTTTATATGCACACAAATGGTGTTGTCCTTGCAAGTCTTTTAAGTTCAAAAGATCTATTCATTCTACCTTCTATTTCTGTCTTGTTTACTTAAAAGCACAGTGAGGGACTGAAACTGTCTTCTGCTCATTTCAAAAGCAAAGAAAATAGGGGCTAAACAAGTCTCAGTAAACCCACAAGTACGAAAGCGGAAAAGATAATGTTGACTACCTCAGAATCAGAATCAGAGTAAGCTTCAGTTTCTAGTTGCTCTTGTTGGTCATCATGTTTGTGTTCCCCTTGATGGTGGACTTGCTGTCTCATTTTTGGGCTTCTCTTATTTCTTTGATCTTTCTCTTCTTTAATTTTCTTCGTCTCCTTCTTTTGAACAGAACCCTTCTTACCTGTTCTCATATGTCTCATCACCAAGAATCTGCAATTAAAATCAAAATTTATGAGATGAAGAAAGCAAAATCAATACGAAAGGAAATAGTAATAACAACTATTCAAATAAATGATGGACCTCAAACTCCAAGTCCTATACAAAGGGGTTTAAGAACATCAAGCATCAAGTAACTCTGAATGCACTATTAAGTGTAGATAAAATAAACCTAGAAAATCATGATGCTTTAGCAGTATGCCTATCAATTTAATAAAATGCTGCGCATGATTAAATTTTTGCACAAGAAAACTAAGAGCAGGGGATGCATAATAATACATACTTTTATCTAATTAATTAATTTTAATGATAAAGTTTTCCTGTCGTCCTCTTTAAGAAAGCATTTTTTATATCAAAATAAATTTACATAACATCATGACACCTACAGAACAAGTTCATATAGTAGATAAAAACAATTATAGAATATCACATTATCCTCCCAGATGTAAAATGTTGAAACAAAACACAACATAAGCAAGCTCAATAAAATAGATAAATATAACTAAATATTTTCCTCCCATAACAAATCCATCGCAAAGCAGGTACAGTATATTCACAAATCGATCACAAAATTTAAAGATCATAAACTACATAGAAACTAAAACAACTAAATTACAGATTCGGATCCTCACTTTTCACTCCTTTTCCATTTTGGTGCCTGAAACTTCTAATTCTTAAAATTAAATATTGTTTCCAGTTCAATCCTGTCAATTTTTCAGTCAAAATTTAAAGAACTTAAAATGCCTGCAACATGTGGTTTCCATGCCATAAAAAATATGATATGGCTGCTAATAGTTCAGTCAATAGAAGACCAAACTTGGTGAAAACTGGTTAAAACCTGAAAACCCAACACATCTTCTTTCTCATCACAAATCAATCTGAATACGAATGTCATCTTAGTACCCAACTCACAAAGTAAAGGAAAACAATGCACAAATAATCACAGAGAGGTCAAACAAAGAGAAATTTGGGGAAAAAATCAATATTATGAGCTTGAGCTTTTCTCTTAACATTCTTTCACAGAGATTGAAGGTATAACATTGTCACTAAGACAATAAAATTAAATCTATTTATCCACTCATGAAATCAATCCATAAGATAAGTCATCATGCACTCAAACTCGTTAAGTTTCTAAGTGAACCCAAAAGATAAGTTAACCAAACATATAGAACTAATCCCAAGATTTAACAGAAATTATTTTGATGAAAAGAAAGGCATTTACACAGCAATGAAGGAGAGAAAATACCGATTTTGAGGCTAGAAATCCTAAAAGAGCTCCTAGTTTTTCTCTCCGAGATTGACCCCTCTTATGGTCTCTCCCTGCTCCCGTTCGCCGGGCTACAGCTCTCTCTTTCTCTCTGCTTGATCTCAGTCGCTGGTCTTTTTGCTCTGGTTACCGCTTGCCTTAATATCTCTCGGGTTCTCCCACTTTTCTTCTCAGCTCCACCTCTCTCTCTCCTCTCAATCTCTCTCGCGCAAAGCTCGCATTCCTTCTTTCCTCGCGTTGTCCCTCTGCTCGAGCTCGTCCAGTTGCTTCCTCAAAACCCTAAAGACCAGGTACAGAGTGTAAGGTGAGAAGAAAGGATGAGAAAGAAGATGCCGTTGGGAATTTTAGGGTTTAACGGGTTTTAAGTATCTCATCGTAAATTTTAAGTTACCGCAATCTAAATTTTCAATTGAATTTTTTTTAATTTAAATGTGAAATTTGATTAATTTTAAAGAAAAATTAAAAATGATGAAATTGAGAATAAAAGATAAGGTGTATGTTTTAAAATTTAAAATTGACAGTTTTCTAATTAAAAAGAATAAGGATTTATAAATTTTGTAATTGAAATTTTAATGTAAATGTGAAACATGAATAATACTAAACAAAAATAAAAAATTATTAAATTGAAAATAAAAAATAAATTCTAAATTTAAAGTTTAAAAATAAAATTTATCAATTAAAAAAATAGTTACTTATAAGTTTCATCAGTTATTTTAATTTTTGAGTATATAAGTTTATACGTTATTTTAGATTCATGATATAAAATAATTTTTCCCTGCAGAATTTTTCTTTTTGTTTGTGCAACAATGAGAAGCAATATATATGTATACAATTACAATAACAAAAGAGATAAGTAAAGACAACAAAATAAGTTATAATTAGGCGAGAATATTGGTTTGGTTTAATCAATTTTTATAAACTTAGTTATTATAAATTTGTAAGTTACATGATTGTCATAATTTTAAGTTTATATGTGATATCTTTTTAATTTGAATGTAAATTTAATTATTTTTAAATAAAAATAAAATAATTATTTTGAATTTTAAATTTCAACTGAAATTTTATTATTTTTTAATGATTTCATAAATTTTATTAGTCATCTAAAATTGTTTAATATAAATAACTTTTTTATTACTAAATCAATTTTTTTATTTGATAACAATAGTATATACAACCCTAATAATGTGATATCTAGTTCCATCACTTCCTTTGCTCTCAATATATAATGATAAAAAAAAAATTTAAATGTATAGATGTCTTAAGAATTGATGAAATAGATGGGTAAAATTATGAGAATAAATTCGATGTTTTAAAAATTTTAATAAATTAAGACAAAGAGGCAATAGGGACATAATTGAAAAGTTGCTCAATAACTTGGGATAGTGTAAAATTTTCAAAAGGTGTAAATGATAAGAGTTTAATAGAGGTGGGGCAAAACTAAAATTTTAAAAGACTGTGACACCTCAGCATTTGAGGTGTCCTGAAGAGCTAACCAGGAGGTGATACAGAGGGAACACATCATAGAGAGTTAAGCGGGATTATGACATGATATTCGATAATTAAGGATCACAGTCAAAAGAGGAGTCCTAGGACAAGTGGGAAACCCATAAAAAGCTACCAACCCGTAAGCTAAATACCCATAAACTGTGGATCTGACAGCAAGGCAACTCGTCAAGAGAGGCATGTGTCACGCATGTAGCAAAGGCCAAGATGGGCCCATGGATCTTAATCAGTTGGAACTTTTTTTAGCCAACCCGATTCCAAGGCCCAAGATGGGGCCACGGAGGGAAAAAGAATCAGCCCAAACAGTAAAAGTCCAAAACCTAGAGACTACGGATCATACAACCAAAGGTTGCGTTAAAGGGGCTTGAAAAGCCCAACTCGAAAGGAAAAGAGAGGCTTAAGCCCGCAATGTACATTTGAGGGCAAAGAAGCAACTTGGCCATCGCCCAAGAAGGTAAGAAAGAACCGATCAAACCTAGTTTCTCCACCCATCACTTAAGGCCGAGAGCCACCAAGGAAAGAGCAGTTTAGTCGCAAGAGGAGATTAATCTTCTTTGGATCTGATGAGGAAGAGGAGAGTGAGTAATTCGATTCTAAGAAGAAAAAGGAAGAAGAAGACTCCTTGAAGCAATTGGCCAAAAAATTCTAAAGTTTTGTTGAATTCAAACATCATGGAAAGGATAGGGAGAAAGAATAAGACTTCTACCCACATGAAGAGACCATTCTCCTATCTTCAACACAAGTCCTAAGATAAGAAGAAATCAACATCTACATAGAAGAATACAAACTAGAAAAAAGAAGAGTTCAAGTCTTATATAATCAACTACGGAGATGAAGCCAGAATTCAACATGAAGAAGAAATCTAGAAGCACCATGAATTCGCTCAAAGAGGAATTTTGCTTGTTGAAGACCTCTTGAAGAATCCTATTTCATATATAGATGAATTACAACAAAACTCCTACTCAAGAATCATAAAAAATCAAGAACAAGAGAAGAATGATGAGTTGGAGTCCTAGTAAGAGTACAAATCAAAAGAGGAAAATCAAATTCAACTACAAGGAGTAGTACTATTTTAATTATTTTATTTATTTAAATTTGTCTATTAGATAATAGTTTGATTATTTTAATATTTATGTATTTGTTTTCTAAATAAATGAAGTCTTAGAGTTTTGATAGGACTTTTAAACCATATTTCGATTAAAATTAGAAAATAAAAGCCTATATAAAGACTTAATCTCTTAGTTTATAAACACGTACTTTTGATAATTAATAAAATTAAATTTTGTACTTTTTTAAGAATTAACTTTGATTAATTTTATAGTGTCTTCAAGTTCCTCGAAGTTAGCGAGTTTTTCAAAGTCTTGTTGAGCTGTGGAGTTGGGATTGATTTATCATATAAGCCATGATGTCTTTTTTTTTTCCTTGTTTTATTTTTTTTACTTTTTGTTTTTGCATTCCATATAGTTGGATGTAGATTCAAGTATAGAGGGGTTTATTTAGGTGGTTAAGTCTCTGATTGCATATTTAGTTGAGGTCCTAGAAGTTAAAACGATCTATCATGTATCCTCCCACGTCATTTAGTAACTGGACTACATCATTTAGTATCAGAGTTTAGACTCCTACTGAACCTATTATCCTTTTATTGCTTTATCATTCGTGTTAATTAATTAACATTCAAATTATTTTAATTGTTAATTTATTTTGCATCCCGTTTGGATTCATATTATCCGTTTAATTCAAGTGGTTTTGTGTCCCTATTATTAGTAAAAAAATACAAAATCAAAAACCCAACAAAGGATCTCAATTACACACCATAAGTCAATTGACTTGTTATTACATTTAAGCATTCAAAAGAAAAATAATCGTCTTATTGTGTGATGAAAAACCTTTGAAAAATTAAAGGAATAACAAAACACCTACTAGGTATGCATGAAAATTTTTTGTTTCCATTTTATTGCAGAGTTTACGATTACATTACATCATCTTGAGCTTTAGAGTTAACATTCATTTGGAACTTATGCTAATATCTTGAGACTAACATATAGGTCCCTAGAAAGAAGACTAAGCTCCAAGACTCAACTGGACAGACAATAGAGCCATCATGGCACCGAGAATAAAAACTTTGAGATAATTGCATATGAGGGATGTGTTCTACCTGTCTAGGTACCAACCAAATTTTTTTTATATGTTTCTAGCTTCATTATATGCCCTTAGATGTCTACATGATGAAGATTCATATTTGGTGATGAGTCTTTCTAAAGAAGGGGGGATGACATGATATCCTATACCTTTGAATCCCAATTAGAAGAGGAGTCTGAGGGCAAGTGGGAAACCCATAAGAAGCTGGCAACCCGTGGGCCAACTACCTGTAAACTTGCGGTGTTAATTTTAGTAATTAAGTAGATGACCCACTAACCTAATGTTGTATTTTTCTTATCTACTCATAACGGTTGAAGTCAATTGAAAAGATACCTAAAATAATATATGACCATTATAAAGAAAAATGTGCCTTAATAAAGTAGATAATCTTAAAATAAATTAAAGAATTATTATATTTTATGAGAATTCAAGTATAATAAATAGAAATAATTATCAACACATTCAATTATCATGAGTGTGCTTTGACTTCTTTTCTCTTTTATAAACAGAGCATAAATTTCTTTTTATATGAGTTTTTCATTAATTAAAGTTCATATATATAATAGTTAGATAGAGAGAAGAAGCGAGTTAGAGAATTTATAATTTTATTAAAGGGTATCTCAATCATGCTATGACTGCATTATCTTCGAATGGTATGTAGTTATAACTTTCTGTTGCTTTTCATTTTCTTAAGATGTGTTAAATCTAATAAAAATGACTTTTGATATTATTTTCTTACATTTGGTATCAGAACAGGTTGAATTCACACATCTTAGAATTTTTACACTAACAGTTTATATATATGTATATAATTTTCCATTAACAATTTATATATATGTATATATTAGTACACTAACAATTTACGTATATATATTATTATACTAACAATTTATTTATATATATTATTACAGTAATAGTTTATATATATGTATCTATTATTATACTAACAGTTTATATATATATATATTATTATACTAACAGTTTATATATATATGTATATATTATTATCTAACAATTTATATATATACATTATTATATTAATAGTTTATATATATGTATATATTATTACACAAACAGTTTATAATGCATATATTATTATACTAATAGTTTATATATATATTATTGCACAAATAGTTATATATATTATTATACTAACATATTATATATGTATATATTTTTACACTAACAGTTTATATATATTTATATATTTTTACACTAATAATTTATATATATATATTTTACAAATTACAATTAATTTCATAATGTAGATATATGTGTATATATATATTTTTTATACAGTTTCATAGTTTTATTATTTAAGATTTATTAACATGTCAATTTACTAAAGTAACTTAGATCAATGAGCCTTAAGTTAGTTAAATTATATTAAAGAATTAAAAGAGACTTATAAAGG